CCCCCCCCAAAAAAAAAAAAAACTATTCTTTAGGGAACTACCCAACTGTGGCCGCTTGAATGCTGCTGCAGGCTGATGAGTCAAGCAGGCGCCAAGCTGGAATTCGGTTGCTGAGACCTTTGGTGCCTGGAGCATTCTCAGAATGTTTGCCATTCATTGATTTCAGGTACCGGTCGTAGTATTAAAAAGCACAAAATATTAACTTGTGTGTGTTTCTTGGTTTGTTTCTAATAGATGTGAAAGTGTATAAACATATAGCTAAACGGCAGGATTGGTTTGTGCTGGCCCAGGGTGCAGTTGCCAGTACTGGCTGCCAAGACGCGACCGCATGGCGGAGCACTATGGTAAACGGAGGGGTTGAAAGTGTAGTCTTGTGGGTTTAGGGTTTAGGTTGTCCTGGTGGTGAGAAACAGCTTAGGCAAGCACCCGGATGTCGTCTTTGGCGACGTTGCGCTGTCTAAAAACCAAGTCCGCAAGATCCACGGCGAGGATCAGAGTCCAGGACACTTTGGCAACGATACGGTGGGGGGGATACGGGTGCCAGGCCTAGGCTCCACAAGATCCCTGATATGTATATAAAGAGTGCTTGTCATGTCCACGGCTTGCACAGCTTGCCATGGCCTAAAAGCCGGAACTGAAGTATGAATAAGGAAAGGAAAGGATTCAAAGATGGTAGCCCTTATTATTTCCAAACTGTTTATAGGGACCTCCATAGTCAACCCGTTGGAACCCTGGTACTCATGGGTGATTCTAGCCTGGCAAGCTGCCTGCAGGCTTTTGTCACACTGGGAGCATGCAGTGGGGGAGTTTGTGGTTTTGGGGCTTGCATTCACGTTTGCGGTTTAGGTTTATGGTTTAGAGCCTAGGGTAGTGTCATATATTGGTCTGTTGGGGCCATAGCGCAGGGCTGCAGACCTTTCAGAAGACTTGCAGCTCAAGTGCCGAATCGCGGCCCTCTTGAGACAGCGGCATTGGCTACTGACCTCTGCTGTCTAAGCTGATTTTGCGAAGTTGCAAGTGAACAAGTTCTCTGTGCTCAGGGTCTGGTGGCTGGCCTACTGTCCGCTTCTTCAACAAGGACCTTGCTTTTGTTTCGCCTGGTCCATCCTTTAGAGTATTGAACTGGTACTTGCATCCGGTTGTTTCGATTGCTGCTGCAGCTGTGGTCTGTTTCCGAAGCGATTCCCCCGTCGTTCTGCAGAAGCATCACGGCAAATATGCGGCACTTGTTTGTGTGCATGCCGGCTTGGGTGGGAACCCAAGAACCAATCCCAGAGCCTTCTAACCCATTATCCTGATATGTGATGCCATTTCGACGTTTTCAAGGAATTGCTTCTGCAACTTTTGGGGCATCCTAGAATACGACCTCCGAACCCGACTGGTGCCTGTCGTGGGTTTCCGGCTCTTCCACAAACCACTTGCTTCGATAAAGCGTGGTGGAAGGCGCGCCCTTCGGGGCTTCATGACAAGCTTTGCCGACCGGTCTTTTTGCTCTGTTTCTCCTGCTTTGGCTCCATCATCGATTTTAAAGTTGGCAGCGGGCCTGCTCTTGTTAATCAACACTAAACACTAATGACAGCCCGGCTGTCAAGACTGAAGTGTCCAAGAACTGTTGGCGGTGGGCTCCGACATGTGTAGACACTTCAGGAGACTGGATACGGAGGCAAGCCGTATCCAAAGAAGACAAGTATGGTCCTGCACTCAGTTGGAGATGCTGGGGCTGTCAACCCACAGTTTCGAGATCTTTGGTGGTGGGATATTGGACCTGTGCCCGGTGCCTGCTAGCGCTAGCCCACCACCTCTGAGCTCCCTGGCTTGCCAAGCAACGAAACTGTCTGCGTGCAGCTCTTTCGAGCTCGAGCTCGGGCTTCCAAGGATTAGGATTCAGAGTCCGGGTTTAGGCTGCAGCACTGCCTGTGGGCAACTTCAATGTAAGCCATCGGGGCTTCCGTGGGTGGATGTAAAGCACCTGCTGTACTTCCCAGCTGTGCACATTATGTTAACTTGAGATTTGGGTGCAAAGCTTCGTGTTTGGAATCTGGAATCCACCAGGTGCTTCCAGGCTCCACTCCGGTGTGATATACGTAGGCCGCCGCAGGTCTTTCAACCAAGGAGTTCTGTAAGTTGAGGGCCTAAACCCGGCGAAGTCCGAGTATGGTGGATATGAAGGTTCCAGGTGCTTGTGTTCAAGCACGGAAAGAACGGGCAAAAGGAAAACCTAAGTCCAACATGACATATTGGTAACCAGGCCCCGAGTGCGTTTTTTGAAACTTCGACCCTTCCAAGCTCACATGTTTTGGCATGCACAAAACCCTTATCCCTCGGCCCTAGACCTTGAGATGCTCTGGTGAGAAGCTCAAAGGCCATGTGCGACGAGCTTGGCCCGAAGGAGAACTACCTCCGAGACTTGCTTGCGCGGACAGATCCCACTTTTTTTGTGTTTGTTTGGGGGGTTGGGGGGGGAGGCCAGGCGCCTACACCCTCTACCACAAGCCCTGTTAGCTTAGGCTTAGGGGACTTCAGATGGCTTCGGGAATTCAGATGTCTTGTCGTGGCGTTGAAGCGTCGTGCAGTCATTCTTTTCCTGGGGATCCAATGGACCATAGATTTTGGTTAGAGGTTTGGGCTTTGGGTTGTGGGATGGTGGTTGTTATGATGCCTCGAACAATCGGTATATGTCAAGCCGTTGATTATCGCAGTTGCGCCCTCAGTGGATGCAGGTGAGTGGATCGAGGAGTTTGCGACGCTCTGCGATGCAAACGCGACCGACAAGAGTCTCAGCCAAACTTTACAGATGCTGAGAGTGATGGTAATGGTAATGACAATGGCCATCATGATGATGGTGGTTGTGTGGTTGCCTGTTTTTCTCAACTTAACTTCGCATGGCTCATGGAGCAATATCAACAAGTACAAGCACATGTTTATCGTAATGTGAATTACCAGTCGGGTAGCGTTAGATAAAGATTGCTGCTCGGCACTGTGGGGTGTGTTTCTGGTGAAGGAAGTACGGGTTCGTGGATCAAGAATTTCCGGGCGGCATGTTCCAGAATTTAGGGGATATATGGGGCTTCCGGTGCAAAGTGAGTTTATAAACCCTAAACCCTAAACCCTAAACCCAAAAGCCCTAAACCTATAGGGGTTTGCCAGGAAGGGCTGCAGCGAGCAGCAGCTCAAGTTCATCGAGCCACTTGGGCGACAAATATGACGTAACCATGAGATCGCTTTGCGACTAGACGGTACATTTCCTCCAATTTTGCTGCCGCACAGACTGCTTATAGTAGGATGTTGGTGTATAGTGGTTTCGGAAACCCCGGACATGTGAGTGTTTGGCGGCGAGGTAGTCCTCTGCAGAACAATGTGCATTGAGGATGATAGGACATAGTGTGAACTTGATAGTACCATTCATCCTTACTACCTTGCATTTGTGACCATGCCGTTCGGATTTTGATCACCAGCCCGTGCTGTCGAGCTACAAACTATCATATCAGGTTTCAGTTCTGACATCGCACGCCTTCTAAATATTCATGTCTATCTACCTACATCACTCTCTCTGTCTCTCGCGTTGTCTTCCATATAAGAAATGAGAATGCATGCGCCGTTACGTTAGCTGTAGTGGCTGTGTAGTTCCATGATCTGTCTCACCACTGCTTAGACCAGTCGTAAAAGAGTCTTATGACATGTCAGCCTGCACAACATCTCATGGCATGAGTTGTGCCAACAAAGCCCGGCTTCATTTCAGCTCCTGCAGGAAATGGGCCGGAAAGTCCGCCGCAGAGCTCAAGTCGCAGCTCACGCGTCTCAAGGGCATGCTCGAGAAGGAGTCGTCAGAATTCTTCATAAGCATTGCTAAAGGCAACGAACCCCGCTTTCACGTCTTATCTAATTGAAAAACGGGAACCTCAGATGTCCCTGGCCTGGCCCTAGTTACTGCCCTTTGTATGTATTTCTGTAAGAGAATGCTAGAGAGTCAGGGAGGTTATCTAGTGTGGCTGCCAGTTTAGGGTTTAGACCCCAAGACAAAAGGCACTGAGTCCAGGCACTGCCAGGTTCGGGTTGGGGGGGCATCTCGTAATATCCCTGAACATTAACTACCCGGCCCCAGGTACCTACTATATAGGGCCCTCGGGGCTTTAGTACCCTCTATAGTAGGTGCCTGGGAGGTTAGGGATTATTATAGGCAGAGGATGCAGAAACAAAAAGAAAGCACAAGCCAAATCAGAGCGTGTCAGAACAGGTTTGGGGTCGAGTTTACATGGGTTCGCATGGACTTCTGAAACCCTGGAGCCCCCGAAGATTGCACAGAGATGTGGCAGGTGCGCCCATAGTTTCGGGTTTTGGGTTCAGGGCCTTCCCGGTTTGGGAGTTGAGGGATTTTTGCGGGGTTTCGGATGGGTTTCGGGTTGCAGAGCTTCGTTTTGGGGGGTTGGTGGTTAAGGGTTTAGGGTTGGAGCCTAGGGCAACGTTCCCAAACGTAACCCCTGACAGCAGCCAGGACGGGGCTTCTATGAAACCTGATGCCCTCAAGTGGGTGAAAGCTCGTGCCAAGCTCATTGAGCAGATGTCGCAGAAGGCGGAGCTGTAGATTGAAGATACTTGTATGGCGTTCGGCGTTCGGGATGTCTTATGGTTCAGGAGAAGTAAATGACAGGATTTTACCCGGAGGTCTGATTCAGCTCAGTTTTGTCTCCACCATCTGCGCCGAGTAGACTTAGGATCCAACATTTCGCAAGCTTGGCTCAGGCAGTACTTTGATGTAATTTCTGAATATGATTGAGTGCTACAGCACTAAGCCCTAATATAAAACTCAGGGGCCACCTCGTCCAGACACTTGGGGGTCTCCGGTCGAGGAGGAAGGGAGGAGGTCTAACCTCGTCGGCATTCCAACTTCATGTCTCGCACTCGACCGAAGCAGAGCTTGAAATCGAACAGGATGTAGCACTTGACCGAATAGCCCTCACTGTTCCGTGCCTTGGCAGTTCGAAGACGTTTTATCTCGGTCTACGGTGCCGAACCAACCTGCAACATGTTGCCTGTTTTTGTTCTGAGTCTAAAGGCATGAAGCATTGCTGTGGCTGTGACATGACCACCGATGCTGTATGTTGAGAAGCTGCCTCGAGCCCAAGTTTGCATCATCGGCAAGTTTTGAGACCGACACCGCTTTGGATGCGTGCGTATCGCATCAGCCACTCTTTTGTGCAGGCTATGGCTCGTGCTTCCACGATCTGCGGAAATCTCACTAAAACTTGAGGTTGTTTAGTAATGGACAAAGGAGCGTGACCTTTGTTCCCGGATCTGGAGCCATCGTTTGCGGTACGAGTATGCATCATACTCCAGAGCCGACAGCGAGCAATCACCGTGGATGTTGCCGGGCACAGTGATGAAACGGCGCGCCAGTTGCTGGCAAAGCTGTTTCCTGAGCCGCCCTGCAGCCCCCGCCTGATTTGCTCACCCACCCTTGGACTGCATGCGATTCAGCTTAGCCTCCGCCTTGTTTTGGTTTTTACAGGCTGAACCTGTCCCTGGCGGTGGTGCCTGAAGCCCCAGAGGCCAAACAAAAGCTCTCCCAGTCCCCTCGCCCAATGCCATAGACTCCAAGTTTGAACAACTCGACTTGAAAGCGCTTGGCAGTCCAAGGGTGGTTGCTTAGGCGCCGCGCGTTGGCCACGGAGCACCGGTAGCAGGATCCACGAGGGTGGAGACGGCCAGTTTAATAGGATGTATTCTACTGTAACAGATGTAGGAACCCGAGCATACATGTCGGAGGGTCTGATTTCGCATGGTATGCCGGCGCACAAACCTTCGACTCGCATGCGGCAAATTGCAGTGAATGCTGATATATTGACGATGGCAGAGGCACTGGTCGTTATCGCTTGTCTCGTTGTTCTTTCATTATCTGTGTTTACGATAGCCGTAGCGTTAGTGGTGGCGATGCTGGTGGTGGTAGCGGGTGAATAGCGGCAAGGATGGCAGAATGGTTGTTCGCAGAAGTTAGAACGACGACGACAACGACACAGCAACACCAGTACTGATACATATATATATATATGTAATTATGTATATATATGTACATACATACATACATACATACATACATACATACATACATACACATATACATACATACATACATACATACATACATACATACATACATACTAGGCCAGAACAAGAGACATGTGGTTTATGACTACAAGAACAACAAATAACAGTTACACGTGCAACAGCAACAACATCAACAACAGCAGCAACATGCGGAGCCAGCGAAGTTGCAGCAAGCACAGCGAAGCAACACCAACAACAGAATCACTGTCGGCACTACGAATACCAATACCGATTGAGCATCACCACTACATTGAATCATCAACGTTGTCGCCATCGTCGTTGTCACCATCGCCGAGTTGACGATGATGAAGATCATCAGCATCACCATCAGCAGCAGCAGCAACCGCATCAACACCAACATCAGCAGCAGCAACGCCAACAAGCGCCAAAAAACGAGCACACCAGCCACGACAGCAAGTGTCGTCTCAGAAATTCGAAGCTCAACTGTGGCGTAATTTATCACACTTCAGTGCATTATGTCATGTTTCCACGGCCTATCATGCAAACGGTATCATTCAACGATAAACGGCTTATTCTGTGTTTGTTTAGACCAGTTTGGGTTTTACTCGAAGTGTTTCCTTGCAGGACGGTGGATGCTCCGAGCCACACGAAGATGAAGAAACCGCCACCCAGAAGAGGCAAAAAGGAGGCAGTGGGGCACGTGTCCATTGCATGTCCCGCTGTCAGTATTGACCCGACCTTTGACTTCTGCAAGCCCACTACCCTTGTCAATCTTTCATGAATAGAGCCCTCAACTGCTGCAGCCTCGGAAGAGTTAGTGGAATGTCGGGTTTGAAAAACTGCTGGGAAGGCTTCAGGTTGAATTGGGAGATTCAGATGTTGGAACCATCTGGGTTGTCTGGACAGTAGAAGAACAAAGGTCCTAAGCTAACGGCAAAGTGATGTCTCTTGACACATCGAGGGGGGGCCTTTATGCAGGAAGTACCAGGATACTAAAATCGTGGAGCTGCCGGGTTGAGTGCATTGCAACTCGATCTTCGCATCCCTACGCCATTGTACTTGCTTGATCACGCCTTGATCTGTCCCTTCAGGTTTTTGTGTGTGCGAAGAAGGACTTCAACTTCAAGCCGGTTCAAACTTCAAGCCACCCAATTTGAAAGAACAGCGAGTACACGAACAACAGTTGAACCGACACGCACATTCCAACACACGAACCTCCAAACCCTAACCTCGAAGACGAGTTTAGTCTGAGGTCCGTCCCAGTGCCTTTGCAGGGCCTCGCTGCATCTGTGGCCTCTACCTCAGACGGCAGAGCTGGACTTGAGGCTTTTGGCATTACATGAATTTAGGGCCATTTAGGGTTTAGGTATGCAGTTCACGCTCTATGACGAGTATGCGCTGTGGGGTTCAGACATGAAGCTAGTGGACTGGGTTGGGGTACTGGAGTTTACGGGTTTCGACCTGCAGGAAGCTTCTAGGGTTTAGTGGGTAACTTCCATGCTTTGAAGCCGCCGGCTGGAGACCTCAAGCCCTCTGCCCCATGTCGCATGTCTGGCTTGCGATACCGGAATCAGGCTTGCCAGTGCCTCGCTTTCTCCGCATTCCAAGATGTATACCTCCGCGACACTGCCTGTGGCGAACTACCGCTACATCAAGAGCCTTCAGCTGAAGGCCTGCCTTTTAGGGTTTAGGGTTCAGGGTTTAGGGTTCAGGGTTTAGGGTTTAGGGTTTAGGGGGATCGATTGAATGGGCTTGCCGAAGGACGTGGTGCGCGTTCAGTTCAGGCTTCGGGGTGTACGGTTGAAGGACTGTGTCTGAGGGCCTTGATCCCCAAACCCAGATCTATCCCTCGTTTCAAACAGATCAACCCTGATGCCTACATCTGAACCTTTACCCCAACCCTACTCCAAAAATAAGTAAGATTGAACCAGTCCCCTACTTCTCCCGGCCATGGCTTCGGTGGAGGGTTTTGGGCCACTACTATTGTCACTGTTGCTGTTTATATACTACGACTAGTCTTCAGCTACTCTGCTGGATATAGAAATTGGTATCCGGACTGTTCTTCTTGCGATTATGATTGTCTTTGTTCGGGAACGGTGCTGACTGGTGAGATCTGGCACCGGATCGGGCAGGAAGCCACACCACGTAGTGTCCCATGCCCGGATCTGCAGATGTAAGTACTGCTTGCAATCAGTATGCCTCGAGCTGATACTTGTTCTACACTTGGACTCTGGGCAGTGGTCAGGGTAGAATTCAGCCTCACCCAAGCCCCACGCCGCGATTGGAGTTGTCTGCACCAGGCTGCCTTGGACCTAGGTTCTTGCTAAATCTAGGGTTTATAATAGTGGTCGTAGAAATTTGGGATTTTAAGGTTAGGGGCTACGGTTTGCACACGCTTCAGGGATTGGATTCGTAGTTTTTTTCTTTTACCCGGTACCTGCGATCGTCAGGTCAAGTTCAAGAAGCTCTATCAGGCGTACTTCCCAACACTTCTCAGAGATATCATTTACGGCCCCGCTGCTTAGATTCAGCTGTGCCTTGTCCTCTCTTTCTCGCTTTTGGCATGAGGTTCGTGCCTCTGTTCGTGTTTTGTCGTATTGAGGGATCCCTACAGTGCGCCATTGAAAAATCATTGAAGTCGGCAATTGGAGTTCCAAAGTCTGCTAAACGGTGCGGCGCCTGACATTGGCATAGGTATCTAAACCCCTTTTTATGTGTACTTTAAGCTGCGAAAGCTAAGCAGTTGCAGCCTGCTTCAGTTTGCGGGCACTAGATTCACCAGATCTGTCGAGGACTTGTGTAAACATGAGCCCTGTACATTCAAAGCCTCAAACTTTCAGGCCCTGAATTCCCAACCCTCCACTGAAGCGTCTGTCCCGAATTCAGAGACCTTCAGCTTAGCTGTTACGTATGCATGCATATATATATATACAGACATATGACACGATGGCATAGACACAACGATGTGATAGTCGGGTCTCTGCAAATTTAGGCTTCTGGCTTTCCAAGATTCATCCTCCTATACATACTTTGGTTCACAAGCCGGAGAGAGCAAGCTCAAGACAACTAGGAGACCCGAGAGACCCGAAGCTGCCCTGAGGTGTGACCCGCACAGCGTTGATACGGAAGTTCCACGCGCCCACTGTTTCGAGTCCAGCAGGCCTTCCTTTGCCTTGCCGAACTTAGCCCCTCTTGTGTCTTTGTGGTTGTTTCAACACGTATTGCCTTGGCGATTTCTGCCTTGGCCTTTGGCTGTCGTCGTTGAGGTTTGGAGGTTTGAGCTCTGGTGCTGAGCACTTCGTGATTTTTGAGTTAACGGAAACAAAGTCGGCTTTTTCGTCTTGGGCCCTGATGGAGCACGAAGGCACTTGCTCAACCCTAAATCCTAAACCCTTGCTCGGCTTATGAGGCCCCAGGCTGAATCTTACATCATGGCCTCAAAAGG